GTATGGAATGTATGGCATGGTATGGCATGGTATGGCATGGTATGGTATGGTATGGTATGGTATGGAATGTATGGCATGGTATGGTATGGAATGTATGGCATGGCATGGTATGGCATGGTATGGGATGGGATGGCATGGCATAGCATGGTATGGTATGGCATGGCATGGTATGGCATGGCGTGGTATGGGATGGCATGGCATGGTATGGCATGGCATGGAATGTATGGCATGGCATGTCATGGCATGGTATGGTATGGTATGACATAGCATGGTATGGCATGGTATTGTACTATACTACCATGTTACCTTCTTGTGCTCACATCCTTTCATCACATAATAATTTTTGACAAGAAATGCTTCTCATCTGTGCCACCTTTTAGGTGCGTGTAAATGTTCGTGCGTGTGTTTCCAGCGGCCCACATCTCTTCAAACATCAGTGCATGTTGCAAACGCTTTCAAACATTTTATCTGATTTACTGTAGGTTCATGACTGGAACTGTTCCAGTTTCTGATCATTTGAAACCTGCTACATTGCAGCCGTATAAAAATAATTTGTAACTTGATCCATCAATTTTTATTTTTTTACTTTCTCTTTCCATGTCTCTCCATATCTCTTTCCATGTTTATTCAGAGCGCCGAAAAAAAACGTTTTAAACAACTTTAAACTTTTCTGAATGCAAATAACGTCACTGAAACATTTCAGTCTGATTGTGAATCCCATTGTTACTTTTTAAAGTTTTTAATGATATTTAGTTGTTCACAAATTCAGAGAATTCTGCCTTTAAAGGTTTTGACTTTGTGTTTTAGTTACATGTGGTCAGACTGGACATCCATTATATAACTAAAGTTGGCCTTAGAGGTTTAACAGGTTTCCTTTTTTTATGCAACAAATCTGTGCTTCACGCTTGTTACGTAGAACTAAAAGCAGGAAACGAATGCCTGAAGTGCTGTGTGCGTGAGAACGGTTCATGAACTCTGTGGGGATTTTCTTACCGTTGAGTTTGACATCTCTATCAGAGAGTTACTGCGGTCAGTTCGAGGAGGAACTGCAGGAGGATCTGCAGCTTCGCGGGAGCCATCTTGGTCCTGAAAAACAAAGTATCGTTTAAGTGATATTGCCATTTCATAAAATAGTTGGTTCAAACTGTAGATTGGTGTGTTTAGCTAAAAATGCTGCCACATGCAGGGTTGTTAACTAGTGGTGCTCCGATAAATCGGCCACGATTTCCTTAATTTTGGGAGATCGGAGATCAGCCGATACGTGAGAAACTGATTTTTTGTAGTTCTAACAATAATTGTCTAAACTTTATATTTCAGAGCACTACCTCATGGCCAGTTAAAACAAGTTTGTATTGTTTTTAGGATATTATTCAAGGGTATGTTTTTCAATAAAATAATATTGGAAAACTGAAGGTGCATTGTGACCTTATAACACCCGACAGTGTCGCTTATAAAACAAAATCAGTATCAGCCAAAAGATAAATCGGCAGGTCAGACATTTTAGAGATTGGTGATTGAGCAGAAAACTGCAATTGGTGCCCCCCCCCCCCCATTTTTAACTGTTTGATGCGACCAGAAATCTCACTGCAATCCTTAATATATATATATATTTTCCTTATTTCAGGGGCTCCCTTCTTCAGGGGTCGCCACAGTGAACTAACGCATGAAGACTTGGTTTTTACGCTGGATGCCCTTCCTGACATATTCCTGAGTATAGGATTGGGGGCCCGTTGTTACGAGCTGTTCGGTCCCTATACAAGTGATGTGAGAGTTTGGTTTGCATTGCCGGCAGTAAGTTGGACCCTTTCAGGATTAGAGTTGGACTCCACCAGGGCTGCCCGTTGTCACCGATTCTGTTCATAATTTTTATGGACAGAATTTCTCGGTGCAGCCAGGGGGTGGAGGGATTCCGGTTCAGTGGCCTCAGGATTCCATCTCTGCTCTTTGCAGATGATGTGGTCCTGTTGGCGTCATCGTGCCATGATCTTCAGCTCTCACTGGAGCGGTTCGCAGCCGAGTGTGAAGCGGCTGGGATGAGAAACAGCTCCTCTAAATCTGAGGCCGTGCTCCTCAGTCAGAAAAGGGTGGATTGCGCTCTTCAGGTCCAGGGTGAGGTTCTGCCTCAAGTGGAGGAGTTCAAGTATCTCAGGGTTTTGTTCACGAGTGAGGGAAGAATAGAGCGTGAGATTGACAGACGGATTGGGAGGTGCTTCGGGCATGATCGACTAGGAGGAGACCCAGGGGAAGACCCAGGACACACTGGAGAGACTACGTCTCTCAGTTGGCCTGGGAACACCTTGGGGTCCTCCCAGAAGAGCTGGAAGAGGTGGCTGTGGAAAGAGATGTGTGGACCTCCCTGCTCAAGCTGCTGCCCCCACGACCCAACTTCGGAACAAGAGGTAAATCATGGATGGATGGACGGACGGACGGACGGATGGATGGATGGATGCCTTTTCTGACACAACTAGACCACCGAGCTACCACAGTCCTCTGTGTGGAGCAGAGAGCTGCCTACTAGGGCGCCTGGGGAACAGATGGTGGAGGTTAAGGGTTGTTCAAGGGACCAGAGGAGAGCAAATGAGGGTGGAGGCAGGTGTGGGTGTTTCAGTTTCCCTCCCACATTTGATGTTATTTGGTCAGGGGAGTTGAACCGGCGACCTTCCGATCACATGCTCACTTTCTCTAACCTCTGCATCACCACTCGCCTCACTGCAGTCCTTAATATGTTGTATTCAAATGATAAATACTGTACAGGGTACATATTGTTTTCAATTTTTATTTATTTAATAATTCCATTTTCGACACTTCACTTTGAGTTTTATTGAAAGAATGCATTTGACTTTTCCAAGCAGAAAAAAAAAAAGAAAAATGAACACCACAAAATGCAGTTAGTTCATCAAGCATTTAATTTGATAATGTTTTGGAATATGACCAAAGTAATCTGTTTAATAAACAATATTTGTTAAAGTACTTTGCTTAAACTACTTTTCAGACAGCTAGATTTTAAGGGGATTGGAAATATGTGGAGTTATTTTAGAGGAATGATATTTATACTTTGCCTTTTTTACTTTTGTTCAATAAATAAGTTGCAAAAGTTTTTATGGAAGAGTGGCAGGAAAAAGACAACAATTTAAAAAGAAGAAGTTCAAGTTCAAGGTTCTTTATTGTCATTCGCACCACATGTGGTACATGAGATGAAACTAAATTATGTACTCAAGATCCCAGTTACACCAAAAAATAGCAATAATATAAATTGTGAAAAGAAACTATATAAGGATCTAAGATATTTACAAAAACAATAACATACGATAATATGATAAACAGCAGCCTGAACATCAGAGTCAGAGGTTCTTTATTTGTCATTCGCACCTCATGTGGTACATGTGGTGGAACGAAATTATGTACACAGGGTCCCAGTTACATCCAACAATAAATTTTAAAAGAAAAACAGTAATAACATCTAAGATATGAACTAAGAAAAATATTAACTAAAAATACACTAAGCACTAGTAACATGAAACCATTACGTCAAACAGCAGCATGAACATGAGTCTGTGTGAGCAGATGAGCACGAATGAACACATCAACATGAAACCAATCAGCAGCAACATGAAACCGATCAGTAGCAACATGAAACAGATCATTAGCAACATGAAACAGATCAGCAGCAACATGAAACAGATCAATACCAACATGAAACAGATCAGCAACAACATGAAACCGATCAGCAGCAACATGAAACAGTTCAGCAGCAACATGAAACAGATCAGCAGCAACATGAAACAGTTCAGCAGCACCATGAAACAGATCAGCAGAAACATGAAACAGATCAGTAACAACATGAAACAGATCAGCAGCAACATGAACAGATCAGCAGCAACATGAACAGATCAGCAGCAACATGAAACAGATCAGCAGCAACATGAAACAGATCAGTAGCAACATGAAACAGATCAGCAGCAACATGAACAGATCAGCAGCAACATGAAACAGTTCAGCAGCATGAAACTGATCAGTAGCAACATGAAACAGATCAGCAGCAACATGAAACAGATCAGTAGCAACATGAAACAGATCAATACCAACATGAAACAGATCAGCAACAAAATGAAACTGATCAGCAGCAACATGAAACTGATCAGCAGCAACATGAAACAGATCAGTAGCAACATGAAACTGATCAGCAGCAACATGGAACAGATCAATACCAACATGAAACAGATCAGCAACAACATGAAACCGATCAGCAGCAACATGAAACAGATCAGCAACAAAATGAAACTGATCAGCAGCAACATGAAACAGATCAGCAGCAACATGAAACAGATCAGTAGCAACATGAAACTGATCAGCAGCAACATGGAACAGATCAATACCAACATGAAACAGATCAGCAACAACATGAAACCGATCAGCAGCAACATGAAACAGATCAGCAGCAACATGAAACAGATCAGCAGCAACATGAAACAGATCAGTAGCAACATGAAACAGATCAGCAGCAACAGGAAACAGATCAATACCAACATGAAACAGATCAGCAACAACATGAAACTGATCAGCAGCAACATGGAACAGATCAGCAGCAATGTGATGTGATTTTTTTCACAGTAATTATTCTGGTTAGAGATTCATGAGTCTAACAACTTTAGGGAAGAAGCTGTTCCTCAGTCTAGTGGTTCTACACTTAATGCTCCTCAACCTCCTTCATGAGGAGAGCGGGGAAAAAAGTGTGTGTGCTGGGTGAGTGGGGTCCTTCATGATGCAGGTGGCCCTCTTCCTGCATCTGGAGATGTAAATGTCTGTGATGGTGGAGAGACTGACTCCAACAGACTTCTGTGCAGCCTTCACCACTCTCTACAAAGCTTTTCTTTCTGCATCTGTGCAGCCTCCATGCCACACGTTGGTGCTGGAGCACAGGATGCTCTCCACTGCACACCTGTAGAAGGAGGTGAGGACTGAGCTTCCCAGACCAGCTCGTCTCAGCCATCTGAGGAAGTAGAGTCTCTGATGAGCTTTCTTGATCAGGCTGGTGGTGTTGTTGCTCCAGCTGAGTTTGTCATTCAGCTGTACACCCAAGTACTTGTAGCTGGAGACCACTTCCACTGCAGATCCTCCTATGTTGGGTGGGAGGTTGTTCCTTCTGAAGTTCACAATCATCTCCTTCATATTCTTCACATTGATGTGAAGGTTATTCCTTTTGCACCAGATCTCCAGGTGTTCCACCTCTTGCCTGTAGCTGGACTCATCGTTGTTTGTGATGCATCCCACCACCGCCGTATCATCTGCAAACTTTACAGGTCACACTGAGGAACTCCTATCAGATGGTGAGGTTAGTCTGGTGAAGAAAAAGAAGACAAAGACGAAGACAAAGAAGACGAAGAAGACAAAGACGAAGAAGACATCGACAGCAACAACAATGACGATGACTGTTCGGATGTTGTCTTAAAGCATACTCAAGATGCCGTGGTCAGATGAGACTAAAACAGAACTTTTTGTCTATCATGGACAATATCACATCTGAAGAAAAATCTACCTCTTCATAGTGAGAACACCAGCTCTACATTGAAGCATGACATTGGCAGCATCATGCTGTGGGCATGTTTACCATCAGTAGGGATTCAAACTACAGGGATTTCCTGGACCAAGATAATGGAGACGGACCTCAGAAATATTTAATGTCCCCACATTAGGGCTGGGCCATATCATATTGTTCACGATAATACCGGCAAAAGAAAAACTTGCCCGGAAAAATAAATTATATCATGACATGCTGATTTCATGGCATAAATACGTCAGTGTTTCCCCTACCATTATACAAGTGGGGCAGGGTGCGCGCCGAACTACAGAACCGAACTGCGCACCCCCCCACACCTGTCAGTACTGGCATAACGCTAATTAGCTGCACAAAATACTAGCTAGCTAAAAAGCTAAAAACAAACAACGCACAGCTCGGCTGTGTCTCTTGAGATGCACAGTCCATGGAGCAAGAACAGAGTCAGGTGATCAGAGACAGAGCATCAGAGAAATGGATCATTCCTGCAGGAACAGAGGAAGAAGAAACACCACGAGCTTCAGG